GTAGACCTCCATTATGGTAGGAGGTCTGCCATGGAAAACTTCAAAGGGTGGATGCCCTGTGTGTCCTGGTGAACTTCGAACCTTGAGAAAGGCTATGGGAAGTAAATCTATCCATTGTATCTGAGTTTCTTGGTGATAATTGGTTAATATTGACTTTAAAGTCTCTTATTCTTTTAGCTTTCCCAGGGTGTTATGGCCTGTGTTTTGTGTGTAATGCCATTTGATGTTTTAGCTCTGTAGTGAGCTCTTGGGTCATTTCTGCCACAAACAAAGGCCCATTGTCACTACCTATGGTGAGAGACCACCCATATCTAGGAATAGTTTCTCTCTGCAGCAGTTTCCAAGCCTCAGTGGCTTGTTCTGTTCTAGTAGGGAATGCCTCTGTCCACACAGAATAAGTAAAGACAAGCCAGGAGCTATTTCTAGCCTTCGTGTGGTTTCATCTCTGCAAAGTCTATTTACAGGTCTTCAAAAGGGGAACGACCAATACCTGGTGGGAGTTGAGGCCAGATGGGGGCTGTCCTTGCACACATTTGACATCTCTAGTTGAAGCAGTTTGGAAATAATTTAGGAATTTAAAGTAATGTATTAGAATTTGATTGATAGCAGTTTTTCCTCCCTGTGTGATAGTGTGATGATGCTTTATTCAAGCGCCGGCCAAGTTCTGAGGATCAGTCGTCTGGAGCAGTCCAAGCACCACTGGGTCCCACGGCAGCCCCTTCCTGTTGTGTTCATTTATTTCCTTCCTTGGAATATTGGAGTGGCTTAATGCAAAAACTGAGGACGGTATCCAGGGGCCTTTCATGCTGGGCTTTCAAATTCTGCTTAAAATCATTTGTCCACCAGGAAGAGCTTTCCGCAGCCAATCTTGCAGGTTTTCAGGAGTGACTGCACCTTTTGTTTTCTGGTGTCCTTTGTAATGGCAACCTTCTTAGGCTTCCAAACTGCAGTCAGAACTTGAGAGATTTTATCCTTGGTTTATTTATTTATTTATTTATTTATTTATTTTTTTATTTGTGGCAGAACCGGGGATTGATCTCAGACCCTTGCATTGTCATGGAAGAGCTTATTCTACTGAGCCATCTCCCCAGCCCTTATCCTTGTTTTTGTTTTCCTTGTGCTTGAGAAGCCGATGTTCCTTGTGCAGCATTCTGTGGACTTGAACATCAGCATATACATATCTTGTCGGTATCAATGTTTATTTGTTTTTCCTTTTGCCCAATTAAGAGCTTGCAGGAAGGTCTATAATTCAGCTAATTGAGCAGATCAATTTTTAGGAAAAGGTCCAGTTAAGAGCACTTCCTGCTCCACAGTAACAACAGCATGTCCAGCCTGATTGATGTTTTCTGCCCTTCACTGAGCTACTTCCATCCATAAACAGGGTGTGTTATGTTGGACGAAGGCGTCATCTGTAGATCTTACTGGCTAACAAAAAAGCGCATCAGCCAAAGCCAGACAGTCATGGTTGTGGGGCATGATGAACTCAGTGGGCAAGAAGGTAGCTGGGTTCAGAGGTTTCAGTCAAATAAATTGGGTTCAGTCAATTAAAAAGTGAGTTGGGAATTTTCACAAAGCAGTCCTGGCTATTGAGTAACACAGTCAATAGCGTCTCTGACTTTTTAACAGCTGCAGAACAGCATGTGGGACTTGAACTGTCATATCTTGTCTTAGGGTGAACTTGCTAGCTTTTTTAATCAGAGGGATGGTTGTAACCAGTGTTCTCAGGCAAGGAGGCCAGCCCTAGCCACAGAGTGTAGGCTCTTCAACAAATATGTGATGGGCCTCTCCCAAGGGCCAGTCTTTTGTATCAGGACCCCCAGCACCATGTACTGTGACATTTGGAAGCTGTAGCACTGGAAATGAACTTAGAGGTGGGGTACTATGGCTTGCTGAGCAGCTTATAGTGATGAATGTAAGAAGGGGGCAGGTCAAATTCAGGGTCCTAGGGCAGAACAAAATAAAGCTAGTCTGGCTTGGCATGAATCTGAGACCCTCTCAGATGGCCTGTAGGTTTTTCTTGATTACCAGGATGGCTTTCTTGTCATGCAGGACTTAGATGTGGAGCCAACATGGAGGACTCTGACACAAGTTGAGAAGGAGTCAGTGTAGGGAAGCGAGGTAGAATAGCCTCATCATCCATCAGGCTCTGTCACTTTGTTCCAGACTCAAGGGACATCAAGTGTCCCTTCAGATGTCCAGTGGGGGCAAAGGTTTGGCCATCTAATTTCACAAAAGATTCTGACATTTCATTTTCACTCTGTAGTCATTACAAAATTCTCTTTTGAAGATTTTCAGCACACAGTCAGGGACTGTAGGTTGACTCTGGCTCGTGCCCATCTTACCTTGCTACAGTGTATGTTGCATATACTTGAATGAAGGAAAAAGACAGGCCAAGGGTGGGTGTTCCCCGAGCTCTCCTCAGCTCTGACTGCTCCTCTAGCGAGGATGTGCATCCTTCTAGCATTTAGTGCACTCATATAAACCCTGCGCCTGGTCAGACCCCCATTATAGAGGCTGAGTCACTGGTTAGTCTACAATGCAAATATGGAACTGCAGAAATCTATTCATTCAAGTTCTGTACTACTGAGATCCCAGAGGGGTCTCTTTCTGAGGAGTGTAGACAGAACAGCCCTGCTTTTGCCATTAGTTAAAAGCACTCATGCAATCATTTAGTAGCCACTCAGAGGTTAAAAATTTCAGCCCCCTACTCTTGAACGTGACCTTGACTAGCACGACTTGATCAGGCCCCTTCTCTGCTCAAATTGAGCATGACTGACTGACTGACCGACTGCAGTGGCTGCTGGGGTCTTTCCCCATCCAATGAGCTGACCCAAATGCACCCTTTCCCTCATCACATTTGGTCCAATGGAGCCATTAGCGCTGGGCATGAGCCCGCAGTCTAAGCCTCTGAGAAAACACAAAGAAAAATCTGGAGGGAGCACCTTCCCATTGAGCAGCCTAGAGAAGATTAAAAAAGAGGCTTGATTCAGATTCAAATTCAAAATGGGAACAAGGAAATGCTCCTGGCCCATAGCCACATAATATTAAGTGCCTAAAACCAACACTTGAATGCAGGACTATCGGACATTACATTCTCTGCATTTTCACCACATGCTACTCACTCACAGGCTGTTTCTCATTTAAGTAGAAGTCAGTAGTATGAAGCAATTCTGGTGTTATTGTCATCAACAGCCTCCACAAATGCTCTGAGGACACGACGGAAAAGAGAAGATGGTGGAGGACACCAGCACTATATGGCCTGAGAAGTTTTACCTCTGGAAAGAATACTTAGATTTAGATTTATCTTTGTGGTTTCTACCTCAGGAGTTCCGGAAAGAAGACTGACTGTGCCCATATATTTGGGAAAACTGCACATCTTTTAGGAAGGTCTTTACCATGGTCAAATGGATTTGCTATTTAGAAGTAGAGCCCTTCTTGATTTTCATGTTTGAACTCATGTGAGGTTTTTCAAAGGTAAAATAATATAATGTATACTTATTAGAGAAGCTCTCTTGGAAGAATTTCATCCTCTTTGGATAAAATTAAACTTGCGTCTAGTACATAAATTGATATATTAAACAGTAAATAATTCCATTATGCAAGTTTTTTCAATGGACACAAGCCAAAATGGTCCATTAACCAACAGGCATAGACTATTCATGGAGCTGAGGGTTTATTATCCAAAATGTGAGCAACAGAAAGTACAGGAAGGTGATAAATGTCTAGCAGCTGAAAAGAGTCTAACTAGGAAACTTTAGAGACATACACAATATTTTTCTTTTTCTCCATCCTTTCCCTCTTTTGTTATGAGATGCGGTGGATTTAGTACAAAAATGTTGAATGTCAGCTTTCAAATATAATCATCATAAATCTGAGAGCTAGGCTGCTGATCACTCCAGCATCTTTCCTTCCTTTGTCTTTATAAGAAGCAGTCCAGGGATCAGCCAGATACGGGATGAGCTGCTCACTGCATACTGGTAAGAGTGTGTTTACACTCATCTCTGCATGGAGGAATATTCAGAAACTACAATAGCATTCCCAATGGAATCCTTCCTTAATACAGGAAGTGACAGCTTTGTGAAGCCATCAAAATTAAGCTCTGGTTTTTCATTCTAGGAATCCTGGGATTAAATTTCTAGCAGAAATGAGACCTCTGCAATGTTGTGTGGGGATTCTTAGAATAATGGACAACTTAACTTTAAAGCTTATTGAATACAAAGCGCCTGAGCTTGGCTTCACCTCCCAGTATCTCTGTTTTCAGCGATATCTAAACCCACAAAACTTAAGTTCTAATGGACATCTCGGAAAGGAAAGGCCACAGAAAAGAATTTGGTGACTTATTGCAGTCACACTTCCCTGCTGTGACTTCTCCCTCTTGCTTTGAAAACTTACTTTCTCTCGCCCTGTGCTTGGGTTTGCCAGATGTCCAGACTTGGATATGTGAATCAGGACTGTTAATCTGTTGGGAATGGACAGTCTTAGTTCCTGTACCAACAGTGGCCTGTCCATTGTCACAGTTCTACCGTATAGAACACATGCAGAGAATAGAGGGCCATGACAGAAATGGAAGGGACTGAATTGAGAAGCTGGGCATTCTGAACGGACCATCGTCCCTTTGGAGTGTCATTTATGTCCTACAACTTGCAATGTCCTTGGTCTTCTCAGTTAGTGCTTATGTGCGTTGACTGTTTTGTAGAAGCTGCTACTACTTATTGTCAGCAGGAAGTTAATATGCATCTTAACAGCTCTTCCCACAGAACTCAGCACCAGTCTCACATATTCATGTGAAATTCTCAGCAGCATTTCTATCTCACTCTGTGAAAACAGTGTAATTCTTTGTTTCTCACCTCCTTAACTCCCTTGAACAATTTAAGTAGATGGGCAGTAATCCTTTCATCTCAGCTTCAATGTAAAGTCTAATTGAAGAATTATATTCCTTTTTTATCCATTTTGTTCTACTATGATGGAAGTGGCTCCTAATGAAAAACTCTTCTTCTTAGGAGACCAGGAGAAGGCCTGAGGATCTACTGGGGGAGTGCAGAGGAGCAGTCCCTGTGGTCACGCTGGAACCCATGGTCCACAGACATTCCTTATGCTACCTTCACGGAGCATCCTATGGTATACACCAGTGAGAAGTTTCTCAAAATTTGCAAGGTAGGAGGCAGCTTGAACTTCACTCTTACGTTACCTCTGCTGATAAAGCTCTGTGTTTAGAGAACATATACTATGAAAAAACTGTAACCAGGATTTACATAGAGAAACACTTTGATAGGTTTACAGAACTTTTTTTTCTTTTTCTTTCTTTATTTATTTTTTGTATTTTAGGGAAGGGTCTACAGGGTGTTCAGGGTCTCACTACTAGATTGGACTTGTAGCAATCTGCCTGTTTACAGACTCCCAAGAGCTGGGATTACCAAGGTGCGCTGGGAGCTGGGCTGGCACAGCAGGCCAGAAGATTGAACCCCTGCACCCTGGGTCTGCTTGCTGGTGTTTTAATCTGCTGAGCTATGTGGCGGGCCTAAAACAGAAGGATTTTTTGTTTTTGTTTTTGTTTTTGGCTGGCTCAGGTTGCCTTTCTGGTGGATCTGGTAAGGCATGGGGAGCTAGGAATTGAACCTTGGTCTCCTGAGCCTGACTGGGTTTGCCCCAGTTGGGGCTTAAACAACTAAACTAACTTGCAAACCGGTTTACAGAACTTTTGCAGTAAGGAGTGAAACTGTTTTTTAATATGTGACTATATGTTATATTAATTATAACATGTTATTTTGTTTCCCCTTTTAGTGAAATGTTGCTTAAAAATTGCAATACTTAGACTTGTCTGATTGCATTTATTGGCAACAGGATGTACACACATTTTCATAAAATTAAATCCTAATTATTTTATTATGGGAAGAAATATGGGATAGCATATTTATGACAGTGTGTTTTACAAGCAATGGCCCTGTGGCCAAGTTTGATAGAGTCAGTTCTCTCTTTGGACTTTGGTATTCTCATTTCTAAGATGGACATTGTGACCACTGCCTTACCAATATAAGGTCAAATGGGATAGTGTTATAGTAAATAGCTCATAAAGCAGAGAGCAATTACCATTATATTTTATGTCTTCAAATCTCATCTTTTCAGGAAGATTTTAAACTCACCAGGGCAGACACAATCCCCTCTACTAGTCTCTTATTTCTCTTAGGCAGAGGAGACAACTTAGTCACAGAGGAGTTACAGAGGAGATACGGTACTCAGAAAATGGATCTGAAAGTACAATGAAAGATCGAATTTTATATTTTTGACAAAACCAAATATACCCATAGTGCATACTTACAGGCTTCGAATGCTAATTTTTTGCCTTTTTCATTTTTATCTTCTATTATTCACTTCATATTATGACTCACTTATTTTATATAGATTCAAAACATGGCAACCTGCATCTAAAATCTTTCTTTGATTGGGTATACACATTGCATTTCTGCATTATTTTAAATACAACTACTCATGCAAGCACATGACCTCCTTTGTGTAAGCAGTAAGTTTTAATTGGTTTTAATCTCTGGTTTTTAAATGAGTTTGAGCCACCATTTATGAGATTAGGGGATAAATGAGATCATCATTTCCCCCAGAATAGAGGTGAGGTTGGCTTGGATCCATCCACTCCCAGGAAAAGTCAGTAACCTCTCAAAATTTCAAGAGATATATTCAGCAGCTGGTATGGAATCCTAGTTTTCCACTCACTTTTAGGCATTGCACACACTAAATAATTTCAGTGAGCAGTTCATGTTGCTGCATTTTATGTAATATTCCTATTGTACAATCCCTCAACCAAGGCATCAACATCAGCTTCTGCCTAAAGCCAACAAAATAAAACAAAATGAAAACCAAGAAGAACAATATAACACTTACACAAAGGCATTTATGAAAGCTGGACTCGTTGAGGGTGATAGGAGATAGAATGGGAGTTTTTATTATAGCAGAGTTCCTAACTGCGTATGCCATATTAGATCTCCCTGCCGTTAACAGTCTTTAATAACAATAATAATAATAATAATAATAATAATGGTAGTAGTAGTAAAATTATTTTTCATCATTCCTTTATTATCTCTCTTCTATTCTTCTTACCCATCCCAAATTATGGTATTTTTAAAAATATTATTAGTAATAATGTGGGGAGTTTACATTTTTAGCATCTATTAATCCAAATTGAAGTGCTCAATAATGTCTTTTTTCAAAAACACTCCTTCCTTCAAAGGAAACCTGATTTTAACTATAAAAATAATACATATATTTTAAGTAATTTTTATATAACTTTGAAAATACTTTTATTTCATTATAAATCAAAATAAGTTTTTACTGCCTAATCATGATTACATTCATGACTTCTTGGGCCTGATTGTTTTCTCATTGACCTGGTACATTCAGTACTTGCCACATTTCTGTGGTGTGCTTTGCTAGAAGAAGTTCAGGATGGAAGAGTAAAGAACAAATTCTATGGACCTCAGGGAAATGCCACTGTCCTATTCTAATACACTGCTGCTGGTAGTGTGTTCTTTATTCTGTTACATGTAAATACATTCATGCAACTTAAAAAAGAAAACAAGCAGTAAAATATTAAAGGACTATGGAATGGTTATTCCACTTGCAATGATGAACTTAGTAGACTACAGTGTTGAGTTTTGTCCTAGAGGTCTCATTAACAAAGGCTAAAGGGGAATTAATAATCATATAACTTTTATTGAATGGAGGTAAGAAATGCGAGGTGTGTGTGTGTGTGTGTGTGTGTGCATGTGTGTGTCTATGCGTGTGTGTTCAACCACGCATAGGTGGATGTGCTTGCCTATACGTATGACTACGACAAATAGGTTGTTACTTAGTTGATTGGTTTTTAGTCAACTAAACCCCTTTGTGGATTTGTGAAGTGTGTGTCATTTGAGGCTTTTTTTTTTTCTTAAATTATTAATCCAAAGTCTTGATTTTTTCCTTCTTGGCAACAGCCTAGTGCTTTCATTTGCCAAGGTGATTCTTATTCAAAGGCCGCCCAAGTCCCAGCTCCTAAGCAAACAAATGATCTTCCCCTGTGATAGGAGATGATGAGTACTTTGATCCAGTGCTTTGAGTCCTGGTCTCTCTTTGTTGTTGGTTTTTATGTCACGTATTATTTGTGTTTAGGATATTTTCCAAGGTGAGCTTTGATTAAGACTCAATTATATTGATATAAAATAATAAATAAGAAGAAAGGCAATTTAGGGATTTAAAATTCCTTTTATGTGAATATTTGCACCTAACAAGATTTTTAAAAGGGTATTATTAATTTTTTCATTTCTTATGAATTAAATAGGAAAATAAAAATACATAAGGAGTGCATAGTAAAATGAAATTTCTGTAGCAATTAAATTAATTTAACAACCTTATTATATGACAGGAGAATAATAGGAAATTGAAATACCCAATAGGAGAATTTTTTAATTATTTATAAGCTTTTTCAAATTAATTAAAATGTAGTGGAACAACTTATTATTAAAGGACTCAAACACATTTTTATCCATAATGTTTTCTGCTATGGCACCAGAATCTCTTCATTAACAAACATTTTCTGAATTCTACAAAATACAGGCATTACGATTGTTGCTAAGGATACAAATATAAATGAGACAAGGCCTTTGCTTTTGTGCAAGGTAATGCTCCACAGAAAAGGCAGATAAAGACACAAAGATTTTAAAATTGAATGAAATGGAAATTTAGATAAAGTGGAAAGGAATGGGGGTACATGAAAGTATCCGATATTCAAAGGGTAATTGTTTAGCTGGAGCTTAATCTTATAAAGTCCTCCACTATAATCGTAATGCCTAAAATAAGAGATAAAAGAGCCTAAATTAAGAACAGTAACACAGAGAGAGAACAGGAGGAAATTTTGTATTACTTTGCATAGAATTAATAAAATCAGGTAAGACATCATCTAAAGGATTTGAGAAAAAACGTCAAAAATGAAACAGTGTCTGGTTGGAGTAGATGGTAACTTCACGAGCTAAAACGGCAAAATCTGGAATAAATTGTATATTTGGGAGTTTAGACTGGGTTGGGACATGCTAAGTTTGAAGCACTCATACAGAAGGTGAACATGAGCTGTCTGGCAGTTAGAAATTTAGATTTGGAACTCAGCAGAGAAGGCTGAACTGATGATAGCAGGATGTGGATCGCACCGCATCAGGCCCGGGTTGAGTCCTGCGGTAGTCAGTCAGGAACATAACCAAGGAAGGGACACGTGTTCGCGAGCACAGTTGCATTCAAGTTCAAATTTCCACTATCTGCAAATCCGTTAACATCGATCTACCTAATCAGTATCAAATTTATATCATATGAGGTCAAAATACATTATTTCTCTTTTTATTCATCATGTCAACTTTGTAGCCCTTCTATGTCTGGCAAGTATAGTAACCATATGGCCTCTTTCCAGACAAACTTAATTATCTCCCAGCCTAACCAACTTTCCCTAATCTGCACATATGCATACTTCATGTTACTCATATAAAACAGATGTTGCAAATTAAAATAATGGGGTTTCTTTGATATAGATATCACTATTATAAACCCAATCATAATCTCCTATGCTATTATATGACAGTACTTCATATTTGCTGATTACAGTGTGAATGATATTTTTGTCGAACTCAACTCACAACAACTTTGTAGAAATAGGATGGTTGGCACAACTTTGCCAACTGTCACTGTCGGCACTCTTCTCTTGCTTGGTGGCTACCCCATAGGCAGGTGAGGCAAGGATAGGCTCATTTAGGATAGTGCTGTTGATTGCTAGCTTTCAGAGCTGATTATGTCCCTGCTAGGTCTTATTTTGACAGAAGAGGGTAGCTGTAAACCCACATCTGATTTGCTATTACTCAGGAGAATGGACACAAACCTGAATGAATTATCGTTCTCCTCTCTCTCTCTCTCTCTCTCTCTCTCTCTCTCTCTCTC